GCAACTTCTTTTATTTTATTAAAAAAAGTAAGGAAATTATACTGAAATCAACTGCAAGATGCAAACAATAAATGAAATGAAAATACAGGATCTAAAAAAATAAAAGGTTGGAACAAAAAACACCTTTCCCTTCTCTTGCTCCCCTCCCATGAATTCCAACTGCTGAGATTAATTACATGGGCAAATGGCAGCATCGGTTAAAAAATAGCTCAACCAATACCTACCACATACACTACAGTCTTTCTATCTTTCAGAGGAGGAGCTACTGTTTTAAATAAAGCTTTTTGTTGTATTGCACCCTTTTTTGGCTGTCATTCTATTTACTACATCATTTCAGAGACAGGTATAGTGACCTTAGGAAGTCCTCTAGATAGGCATTTTTTTCCTCCACTTCCCCCAGCTGATAAAAGCAGAGACTTTGTTTCCTGTGCACAATTACACCTATCACAGAAACAAGGAAAACAAAATTTTATTTTCAACAAAAGGAGGATTTAAAAGCCATCAAAATCCTCAAGTGGAAGTTGCTGAGTAATTGCATGATGGTTCTTAATTGTCAAGGCTGATAACTATATGTTTAGGAACTACTGCATTAAGAAACTTGGCAGGGTCAGATGTTCAGCTACATGGCACACACAGCCAAGGATGTTTATAGGGCAGTGGTTACAGTATGCCTCAGAAACCCTAAACAGGAGCATACTCATGCTCCCTGTATTTTCTTGTTCTAAGTCCTCGCTTACAAATGCAAATGACATTTCTAGTCTACTTAAGTTCATACACCACTCTCAGCCCTGCAGTAACTGAGGGTGGTCCTGTACCACAGCAATTGGTCATTTGCTTCCTCAAGGAGGGAAGCACAAAGGTATCAATCCACTGTTTTAATGCAAGTTTTCTGTTCTTACAAATCTTGGCTTTAATATTAAGAACTTTTCATTGACACCTTCAGAACAGTGTATACCCCCTGCAAACTTACATCTGGTCACAAAACCCATCCAAGTTCTAAGGGCCTCTAAATATATTTGGTTATAGCTGCATGAAATTATTACAGACGAGCTACACTCCAGCTTGTCTCTCCCCTCTAAAATCACAATCGCTGCCAACAAAGTTCACAATACTGTATAACAATATGCTCCAGAAAAAAAACTTTCAATGTGAATGTGACATGCAAATATTAAGACAGGACACCAGACTTCTTTTTTTTCCCCTTCCCAATGGGTGTTTTATTTTATAGCATTTGCATTAGGTAATCAACTGAAACACTTAAACAACAGAAAGCTGGCAGCACAGTGAGGAAGAATGGAGATCATTTCTCAAACAGCCGTGACAAAATTGTTTCAAGTTGGAATAGTATTGCACAAATGAATCAATTTACTGAGGGTGAGTGGGAGCAAGCATCTTCAACATGGATTGTGAGGAAAAAAGGCACTATTTAGCTGTGTGTGTGTTTAAAAAGAAAAGGGTCATGAAGCACAATCCATGTTTTTCAAAATTACATTCAGTACTGCTTTAGAAATGCTCACAAACCTGTCTCTTTTGCAGAAGCTATGGAAAGCTGCTGATGTAAGTATCAGAGAGTACAAGTGTACAAACATTTATAATTATGCTGCAGAAAAGTCTCAGGAAGAGAGGCTCTTTCTATAAATACTGCTGCAAAGGTTACACAGTTGCATAGCCTTACAGTAAAGGAAGCATCCATCCAACTAAGCAGCCTTTAAGTTTAATCTCTAGTAGTCATAAAATACGCTCTAATTTTGAAGAGCTAGATTGGCAGTGCATTTGAATCAGGCTTTTTTTCCATTGTCTGCTTAAGCAGCACAGTTCAGACAGTATCATCCACACACCTTTTTGTCACATACGCCTTTAGCAACACCAGGTAAGCTTAATGGAAACTTTTAACAGAAGTGTGAAAGAAAATAACTGAATTTTTCCCAATATAAGATAGAATTACTCTGAGAACATCAAAAGCAAAAGTTTATTCCTGTAATGTAAAAATAGCTAGGTATCTTCAGAAAAACTAAATACCAAAAAAAGGCATTTCAAATGACCAGGATGGGCTGGTTCTCCATCTCCTACATTGTATAGCTATAAATTTTAATGTGTGTTGGAAAATGAAGCCATGATCAGCATACCAATAAAAGAGAGACTGCTAGAAAATCCACCCAGAACAAGCAGGAATGTGCACAGAGGACATTCTGCACCCTAGCCTTGGGTCTGCTTATAGATGCACTAACAAAATAGAAGTGAAATTCTTGTTGCATGGCTGCAGAATTATTAAGGGAAGGAGCTAAAACCACTGTTGCTCTCCCACCAGCACTTCCCAGAGTATCACAAGTGCCCCAGGCATGCTGTGGGTACGGCTGTGTACTCACCAGCACAGCAGGACCTCATGCCTCGTGCTGACATCAAGAGTTTCAACAGGGCTAGAGGTTTGCATAAAATCTGGGAGGTACTTTTGTACAGAAAGTACAGAACAGTGTAACAAATCTACTCTCAACTATATGTAGATATATGAGCATTTCAGCACCTTTCAAATGAACTTAGCCCTGCAAAAAGCCAATCTTATTCCTCTAAGAGGGTACAGTGACTTCAGTTAAAAGATCTGTGTTCAGGAGGCTGCATAGTAGTTTACTGATCATACAACCTGCAAAAACAAAAATTCACATATTGCTGCTTTCCTCTCTAAGTCATTAAGGGAAAATACATTAGATAAATCATTTTTATATATCATAAAATATTTTTAATGGCAACAACTCGGATTGTTTCTATTTCCAAACAGAAGATGAATAGAACAGATTATTAAAAATCTGTAAAGCTCTTCTCCTAAACTGTCTTTTAGGAAATCCAGATCGTTCTAAATTCAAATTATTCCAAGTTCACAGTTGTCTTTAATGGTTGCACGAGATATAAAAGTAGACAGTCTTGGTTCTTCCTGTGTTCTACAGATGATCACATTTTGTGAGTACATCTGGAATGAGTACCGCTCCAATTGTTACTAACATTTCTAAAAAATATTCCTAAAATTCTTGTCTCAACCTTGACAGTTCACAAAGCAAAAGAACAGGAAGTGATATCTGATTAAATAAAATGTGTTATCTTACATGAACTATGAAAAATATATTGCTCTTTTGAAAGTAAAAAAAATTGCACTGTTCTATTGGTTTTGTTATTGGAGACTTGTAATTAAGAAATTCTAAATCCTGGAAAAAAAGAAACGTAACTTTCAAAACTGCTTACAGAATAAAGAAGCTTCTGTAGACCCTACTGAAATCAGTAGAAGTTTTGTCTATTGTTTTGTCAATAGAGAAGCATTTGTCTACATACCTATATCATTAGGTAGATGAATATTTTGCATTTTCACTTAGCAAGCTCTTCAGCTCTCTTAGAGGTGCTCTGCTGAAAATTCTGAAGGAGATTCAAGAAGGTAAACTAATCTGAATTATTCTGAAGGAGAACAACATAGTAAAAAAATTCTACTATAAAACTATCACTGAGTGGAAATATTTTCTGGGATTATAAATATTTATTTTTTTTAAAAAAAGTGACTGCTTTTAAATGAAAACTTTTAGATCTCCATTAACTACTTTTTGTGTTTGACTTCTCAGTTCCTTTCATGGGCTAGGAAACATGTCTTCATGTGTGACCTAACACATCCTATATCCAAACATGTTGGCATTATTATTGATGGCAACAGACAAGAACTAGAACAGGAAGGCTTATGCATGGTTCATGCTATATAAATGGTAACTTATGAGAAGGAACTTCCCTGATTATTTGGGAAGAACAAAGAGAGATCTATTTTTAAAATCAGAAGGGAAAAAACTAAGAAAACAAAGAAACTGCAAGATGTACTTGATAGTCTCCCGTTATCCTCTCTTTAATTGGGCTGTTGCTTTTGGCTGCAGACATCCAGTTCACAGACCATTTTCCATTTCCTTTGTTTTCATTACAAGAACAAGCTGGTTAAAGAAACTCCACTCAGTAATTTTAAACTAAACCTTCAGCATCATACTGTAGGAATTTAAACCTTTCCCACCATTCCTTTCTTTATCTCCTCAGTGCCTTCCCAATCAAATCCTGTGAAAAGCACTTTTAAGAAAAGGCAGGTGGAAGTTGTGTAAATATTCATATCTTTAAGAAAATTCAATATGAAAACTTCTTGCAGTGCTCCACGGCCATTTGCTATAATGCAGTGGCCTCAAACATCTGTTCTCAAATTTCAGTTTACTTCATCTGCCAGGTGTTTCACATTGTTAATAATGGTAACTCACAAATTTACAACAGTCACGTAAGGCAGTTACATAAATACAGTTATGTCAATCAAGTTCACTGCATCTTTCCCAACTAGACCGCATATGACATTTTTCTTCTTGCTCTCTTATCCTAATAAATGGATGAAGACTATATTTCTGTAAAGAGAATCCCTGGAAAATATTCTGGTATTGAAGTCAGAGAAGTCACTGAAGTGCATTTCAGCAATGTCCAACAGTTAACTCAACCAGGAAGTAGATGTGATGTTTTTCACTTCACATGTAACAGAATCGGTGCAAAAAACCCCACTTTAAACTAGTTACTTTAAACCTTTTGGTCCAAATACATAAAATAAGCAGTATTTACAGCATTTTATTCCTTTTGTAAATGCAATGCTTTAAAACACGTTATAAAGCACCTCAGTAAAAATATTCTACAGATAAAAGTATTGAAGTAGTAGGAAAACCCTAGCCATACCACAGCTCACTAATAGAGTCATAATATGGATTCACCGATACCTCAGTTTACAATTATTACAAAGAATCCATGGAGAAACTTACTGAATTTACAATTTTTATACCACTGTGTGAGGATCAACTAGAACTGCAGACAATACCAAATTTCTTTGTAGTTTTCCCAACCTCAGTCAGTGGTGGTGGTGATTAAAAAAAAACAAAACAAAAAACCCAAAACCCCACTGTTCTCATTCTTTAGCTTTTTACAATATTAATATGAAAATGACATTTTAACACTAATGAGTAGTTGTAATTTTTTAATAAAACCACATATATAAATATGGGCAATTCCAGCAGCAGCAGCATTTCTCAGCAGAACATGATTAACCATCCCAATTAATATCATGTGACATGATTCTCAAAAACAAAGTACAGATGTCAACCAGTTATTAGGAGTACTCATACTGTATACAACCAAAATTTCCATGTTGAAAGCTGGGGAAAATTATTTCCTCTTCACAGAAGTATAAATGAAAATAAATTGCTCTGAAAATTAAAAAGAGCATCAACAGAAGTGTTTTTTTTATTGTTTATATTTTCAAATAGAACTGCCATGTATTAATTGCTCCGAATTACAGTGTAGATTTCTTCAGGTTAAGGATATTGACTCCCACTGAAAGTATTAGTTAGATAAAAGAAATGAAGCCTTTGCTTCTGGATTACCAACACAGCTATATCCAAAGCCCTGGAGGTGATCCACAACCCACTTTTCTTGTGTAAAGAAATGTCTTGGAGGTCTACAAGCAATCTAGTTTCCATGGCTGAGGACTAAGATGATGTTGTGACCAAAGATTTAGGTCCATAAATCTTACAGTATAGCATTCTTAGTTTGATTTAGGGTAAATCTTTTCATAGAAAAAGTTTTGAGCCAGAATATATAATTCTCCATCTTTTTCCCGAACTGCATGTGCTCTGACAAACTGAAATTGCTCCAGTGCAAATTCATAGAACTCATTCTCCATTTTCCAGATTTCAGACTGCTGTAGCTTGGCAATAGTTTCTTTTGTGGGAAGTTTTTTCTCAGTTGTTTTCCTAAGATGCGACTTCTTTCCTAAATGCAAAATAAAGCAATAACTTCACTTTCAAGTTCATGCGCTCAAAAAATGTTTACAGTCCTTTGTAATTTACAGAGTTTTTAGATTCTCAGTGTGTTGATAAACTGCATCAGAAGGAGCAGGCTTTAATCCAAAATTTATTAACACAACATGTAGAGTTGGAAAACTGCAGCCCATCTCACTAAATGTTTATGAATCTTGCATCCATTCTTTCAATTCCTCCTGTTTGCTCTAAAAAACTCAGGAAATGAACATTCATTTAAGGAATAAGATTACTCCATATAACCTACCTGGAGCAAAACTAGTGTTTCAAAATTAATTATTTAGATGTTAATCTGGTATCAACTGTTAAGTATTTTAGGGACTGCAGGAGAGACTTCTTTCATAGAACCATCAAAACATTAAAATGTTTTGATGTTTCATGGAAAAAACGTTTAGGATCATTGAGCCCAACCACAAACCTAACACGGCCAAGTCCCAGTCAGCCATGTCCCTGAATGCCACATCTTTTAAATATCTCCACCACTTCTTTACATCTTTTAAATACCTCCAAGGAAGGTTATATTCAGCTCAGACTATGAAAACCCCCGCTGTTCTGGTGTAACTCTCTGTAGCTCTCCATAAAAGAGAAAGAAAGTCTTGTTTTCATGTGATTTCAACTGTCTATTTCTAATCAAAATATAATCTCTACTAATAGCATTTAAACCATTATTCTCCCATCTAAATAGGATACTATAGTCTTATCATAAATGATACATATGCCAGATCCCTGTTCAACAGAGTTTCTGAGACAAAGATGACCAAAATGATGACCAAATTTTCCCCAAGGAGTGCTGCTGCTTTGTAATTAACTTGTTAATACTACATATCTAGGCTCTGTACACCACATCCTCTTCTCCCTCTATTTGCAGATAGAAGTCCTGCTAGATAGAAAAGATAGAAAAGATAGATCTTTTTTTCATCATAAATTGCATGGCCAGCTCCTAGAAACTGAGCTACTTGTTGTAGCTAGGAGTGCAGGAAGATAAACATCTACTTGGGTCTCTGCATCCCTCAGGCTTTATTGCTCAGCCAACCAGGCTGCATTGAGCGCAGTTAATTCCAGCAGGGCTTCTGAGGAAATGGAAATCTGCCACATCAGCCACTTTATGAACCTGAAGCCACTGCAAAACCTTAAAAAAAATTTCTGTTACAAACACATCACAATGTAACACGCAGTATACCTACACGCCTGCATTTACCCGAGCCTTAAATATTTACAATTTGTGCAAGGCAGCAAGATACTTGGACTAGCACTGCCCTGGAAAGAGAGAAGGAGAGAGAGGAGAGAGAGGAGAGAGAGAGGAGAGAGAGAGGAGAGAGAGAG